ACCAAGGCAAGTATGTATTTGCTTAATAGATAGTGAGCTCACTGGACATGATCAATCCAGAAGTTTTCATACTCATGTCATATGAGAAATCACTAGTTAGGAAAATACAAAGTAGTCATTTGACTTGAGACCACATTGTCTTACAGGTACATCTTTGATGATTTGACGATGCATCATAACCTCATGTTATGTTTTCTCCACTCATTGTTAGGATCACTGACTTATTCGCAAAGGCATGCAAGTGTACAATAAGGGATCTTTAATATTCAAACCGTTGAAGTAGAATACTCTATGATTCAAGGGTCTCTGGTCAGAAGAATACAATTTAGGAAGTACATTCTAATCCATATTCATAGTAATCATATAGACAAGAAAATCGCATTGGATATGTAACGACTGGTCTTGAATTTTACGAATTTTTGGAACGTCGGGGGTAAATTGATAATTTACATCGGGAGATATTTTCATGTTGTCTTTTATGGGCTTGTTTTGTGTGCCATGTGGGAACTGCATCCCACTCAAACTCTCACTCTCTCTTGCCCCGTGTTCCTTCTTCCCCCAAAAACTCTCGCTTCTCTCATCTCTTCCCTCAACTCTCTGATCTCTATCTATCATTCTTTCCTCCCCTGAGCACACCCACATGCACATTGGATCACCTGCTCACCATCTTCTCCGGCGAGCACCAGAAACCACCATCATTTGTAAGCCTTCTCTCTCCCCCTCTCATGACTCTTCTTTCCCTTTCTTAGCTCTATATTTCTCTTTTCACTCCTGGATTCTCTCCTTCTTTGTAAATCGGAAAAACCGCACCACCATTGCCATTTTTCATGGCAGGAAATAATGTCACCGACCACCATTCCCCAACCCTCTACTGCATCCTCGAAACTTGAATGGAGACGCATGGACCACCGAGCTACGATGTGGAGGGGAAATCCAGCGAGATTTCTCGTCCTCCCAATTAGGGTAAGTCTCAAGATACTTAGAATCCCTTCATTTTCATCCTTGTGGTTTAATTCTAACCTACGTTATGTATGTTGAACGGTGAATTTGCACAGAAATTGCAAGAGCGACAAACCTAGTTTCAAGCGAGGGATGCCACGAGTTGTAAGCCATTTTTTGGCCACTTCTAGCCACGGCTGGTCATGAGATAGGTATAATAATCTTCTTTGTTCCTTGGGCTTCAATTTGGTATATTAGATAACTAGTTTTAGTTGAGATTTGAGAATGGACGGAGCTATAGAATCCGGCCGACCCACAACCTGAAACCGGGTCGACCTGACCCAACTACCCTGAACCTAGATTTGAATCGGATTTGACCGAGACACAACCCTGGAACCCAACCCGACGATCCATAAACCGGACTTAACCCATTTTCTAATTGGATCCAGAATATTCTTGGAATATTCTTGAAAGATTCTTGAATTATTCTTTGGAATATTCCTGAAATATTACTTGTGTTAACTTTTACGAAATATTTCCAAAAACTTTCCTAGACTAATTTCGACGCCCCAAATCTGTTTTTAGCGTCCATTTAGTGAAATTTTGAAGTTTTAACATAGTTGACCAGCTTGGTGTCTCGCTGGATTTTTTAGGTCAACTGTTGACTTTTTACAAATTTTTCCCGAGCCCCCTCTTAGGGTAATTCGACACCCTAATTCCAAATTCATGCATCATTTTCCTGAATTCAATCATTTTAGTAGAGTTTTACTAATTGGTCCCTTTATGTGCTTAGGTGCATTTGTTAGTGGCAATCCCGTCCACCCTAGTTCGAACGGCTTTTCGACGACAAAGTATTTGTGAGTGGATCCCTTCTCAAACTGCATGATTTTTATTTGATACTAGGCTTGCATTCATGAAAAACATGATTTCATGATTTTACATTTTACACATTATTTGTGATTTATCGAACTTACATTTTATGAAAGGTTTACGAACTATTGCTTTTATGCCTATGAGATATTATGGATTTACAAATAGATTTATGATGTTTTATGATGTTTGAGCTTGTAAGCTTCGAGGTTTGATTTGGAAAGAATATAATTTATGTTTTATATGCTTAACTAGTGGGTAATTATACAGTACATACGCACAACACGAGTATGTATTTGTCTATGGCCATAGGACACAGTTGATGAGTAGCGAGATATTTATAACATACTCCCAGCTTCACTGGTGAAACTAGCGTCGAACAGCTTCACTAGCCATGGCTAGTGTTGGTGTGTTATGTTATATTTTCTTCTTTAGCGTAACCCAAAGTCGTACAACTTCACCTTCGAATGATGGGACCTACCATATTTCTTCATTGGCGTAACCCAGTGTCGTACAGCTTCACCTTCAGGTGATGGGTATGCTTTTGGGCGATTATGATACCCCTAGTCGGGTACATCATCATGTTGATTTTCGAGACTCGTTGGTTTTGCCTTCGGGTGCTTCATTACCACTTTTAGAGATGATTTTAGCATACAAACGTTTTTATAGCATGTAGAATTTTAGAAAAACCTAGTATGTAGTATTATATATGTGTACCTAGTATGTATTATTATATATTTGTTTTCAAAACAAGGGGTTATTATGTTCATAAAGAAAAATGAGGTTTCTTATTATTCTTATTATTATTATTATAAACTTTGGTCCACTTACGTTTTGTTTTACACCCCCTTCAGGACTTAGAATTGAGACGTACAATCCCGGCGTCAAAACACAACCGCATCAGTATCTTCGAGCTCTCTCAGTATGGGATCCATTCCTTTGTTCGTATCTTTTATAATATTCCTTTCTCAATATTCTTGATTAGTTGTATGCTCACATGTTCGTGCATCCATACATTTTCATTATATTTAAATTTACTCAATTTATTTACTTTCGTCCTTCCTTTATAACTTGCATGCATGTTAAAATGGCTTCATCATCCTCGGATGTCTGCCAGCATGTGCACATCCTGGTATTTGGGGATATCGGGGTTGGGGCGTGTTAGAATATCATAAGCGATTAGTAAGAGTTCTAATTGCCTACTTCCTTTATAACTTGCATGCATGTTAAAATGGCTTCGTCACTCTCAGGTGTCTACCAACATGTGCACATCCTGGTATTTGGGGATATCGGGGTTGAGGCATGTCAGAATATCATAAGCGATTAGTAAGAGTTCTAATCGCCCAATACCTCGCTAACTTAGACCTAATGGATTGTACTCCATGTTTGGTAAAGATTGAAGAATACAACGGAGTTGAGTAAGGAAAATTAAATGGTTTAATTGTTTATGGGTAGGATTAATTAATATGTTAATTAATCAAATGATTAAGCTCGTTTTATAACTTGAGTTAATTAATATTGAGCTTCAAGATCCAGTGGTTTGTCAAACACCACATTAACTTAAGTTGTATGACAACTTAAAAATCAAAATGTTCAAAAGTCCAATAACTCTAAGAGGCTGGCTATAGAAAAAGAGACGATAAGTTAGAGTATTCTTTAAGTCACTCGATTGTAAGACTATATAAGGAACATTATAACCTCATCACCCTAATTTAGGGCTTTTATATGAAGAAATAAGAGAAACATAACTCTTTCTCTTCTCTCTAAGAGGTTAGCCACTATAGGAAAGGAAAACTAGCATATCCCTCTATACCTTAGTTACTCATCCCTTCGTCAGATCTCTCCTTGGTGTGAAGACTTAGAGGTTTCTTCTCTGGGAAGTTTTGGAGATTCCTATTGCACCATCCAAATCTAAGAAGCCAAAAGATCCAAAGGAGCAAAAGATAGCAAAGAAATGAAAACCCTCACTTTGGGTGAATAGCCTTTACAAATGCGAAGATGATCCACAAAGGTTCTCAACTCTCTCTTGTAATTTTTTTTTTTTTTTTTTTTTTTTACATTTTTTCACACTTCTACAATAATTATTATGAACTTTTTAATTTTGCACTCAAATAAAAAATACTATTCATGAGGGTTTGGTGAGTTTTTACAAATCTAAACAATAATGTAACCATCGTTTAGGCGTGGAAGATGTAATCATGGGCATTTATATATTCTTTCACATTTTTCACATTTGTACATTAATTATTATGAATTTTTTTTTTATTTTGAACTCCCCTAAAAATACTATTCATGAGGACTTGTAGGGTTTAAAAATACGATCTGCTCATACTCAAAGCATAGAGGATGCGATCATGAGTTTTTGCATATTTTTTCACATTTTTCGCACTTGTAAATTAATTATTTAAAATTATTTAATGTGTTTTATAATGTTTTAATCTAATTTTTAAGAGTATACAACATTTTATGAGTATGATTGTATAAGACAAAGTAAAAAACTTTGGTAGGTGCAAGTGACCCTCTACCACAGTGGTGGAGAGAAGTGTTACCTTTGCATCTGGTGTGGGTTCAAACTCCGTTAGCTCTCCAATCTAACAATTCTATAGTTTGACAAAAAAAAAAAGATATTTGTTGCAGTAATAATAATAATAAGAAGAAGAAGAAACTCTGATAATAAAAAAATAAAAATTTAACTTATATAGAAGATAATACAAATAGTACATATTTAATATACAATATATACACTATGATTATTATACTTTATGGTAAGTTTTTTTAATGGGAATTGTTATTGGCACACTAAAAATCTCATTTCGCACTTCAAATTTTCTATAATTAGAAAAAAAAATACTTGTGAGAAATGTAGAATGAGATTTTTTTTCTTCTTAATGGGTCAAAATAGGTTATCCACGTGTTACTCACGTGTAAACCCGTTATTAACAAGTGATATGATAACGATCCGATTAGTTATCTTGTTAATTCGAAATCAATTATTTTCGTGTTGTTTTCATATCGTGTTAACGGATCGTATAAAAATTGTCAGATCTACCATAAATGATCCAGTGTTATTATGTTATTGTTGTGTGGTTTTTATATTATCATTGTGCCGTGAATATATGGTCTATATGACGTGGTTATTAAACAATGACTATTTTTGCAACTAATAATTGCCCTAATAATTGCCCAAAAGAAAATGAGAGAATAACATAGAGAGAATAATCGAAGGTAAGAAATTGAATCTCCGAAACTCTCTGTGGAATGTGCATTGGGAGAAGAGAACCAACTAAGCAATCAGAGGGAAGCAAAGAAAGGAGGCTGCGAGTGATCGAAAACAGTACTTACCATGCGCATTACTCCACAGCCTGTGACAACTCCTGGAAACCTCTTAAGAATCCGACAATTGAAGATAAATCCAAGCACCCCATGTGAGTGAGACCACTCTACTCTTCCTTTTTTAGTCTCCCTCCTCCCGTATCTCAGTTTTCACTGCGCTATCTCTCTGCTTTCTGCTGCTCTCTCACTTTCACTGCTATTTGTTGCCACTTTCCCGAGAAAATTCCAGCCTGAATTTTCTGGGATTTCTCCAAAATCATGTGGGATTCTGAGACTGAGTCGGTTGGAGGGAGAGATTACAGGAATGGAGTTCTCTGTTCATCCAAGCACAATGTTAAGACTGATGGCTTTGAGCTCAAGGGCAACTCTTGGTACGTACTATGAACTATCAAATTATTACATTAATTAATTGAAGTTTGATTAAAGGAGATTTTAATTGTCCAGCATGCATGCTTTGTTGTGGATATCAATTAGCAAAGTTGATTAAAATATTTGGTGGGCTTGTTTGAATTAATAGGTATGTAGCAACTGATATCCCAAGTGACCTGCTAGTTCTAGTTGGGGATGTAAATTTTTACTTGCACAAGGTATAAAACTAAACTTCATTTGAACCCTTAATCCGAAATCTTACTAGTCTGATATTTTTGTTACCGGTAATACTTTGAGAGAATGAAATTTTATGTTTGTGTTGTCCAAGTATCCCCTGCTTTCAAGGAGTGGAAAGATCAACAGAGTCATGTATGAATTACGCGACCCGGACCTGAGTAAGATGGGTTTGGATGATCTTCCTGGTGGACCACAGGCCTTCGAGCTAGCTGCGAAATTCTGCTATGGAATTGCTGTTGATCTAACAGCAGCAAATATTTCAGGCTTGAGATGTGCTGCAGAGTACCTTGAAATGACAGAGGACTTGGAAGAAGGCAACCTTATCTTCAAAACTGAGGCTTTTCTTAGCTATGTGGTTTTATCCTCATGGAGAGACTCCATTGTGGTGTTGAAAAGCTGTGAGAAGTTGTCGCCATGGGCTGAAAACCTTCAAATTGTCCGAAGATGCAGCGAGTCTATTGCTTGGAAAGCTTGTTCCAATCCAAAGGGGATAAGATGGGCATACACTAGAAAGCCAACAAAAGTTGCTAGCCCAAACTGGGGTGACATGAAGGACTCAAGTCCAAGTAGAAGCCAGCAGGTCCCTCCTGATTGGTGGTTTGAAGATGTTTCAATTCTAAGGATTGATCACTTTGTCAGAGTTATTACCGCAATTAAGGTGAAGGGGATGAGATTTGAACTGATTGGAGCTGCAATGATGCATTACGCATCTAAATGGCTTCCAGGTTTGATCAATGAAGGCACAGGTGCAGCAGATGAAGGAAGCAACAGCAGCAATAGTACAAGTAATAGTGGCGGTAGTTGGAACGGTGGACTTCATATGATTCTGGCAGGAAATAAAGATGAGTCTTCAAGTGTTCAGGCCAAAGATCAACGGATGATCATTGAGAGCCTTATCAGCATAATCCCACCACAGAAGGATAGTGTCTCGTGCAGCTTCCTTCTTCGGCTTTTGAGAATGGCAAACATGCTGAAAGTAGCACCTGCTTTGGTTACTGAGTTGGAAAAACGGGTGGGAATGCAGTTCGAACAGGCTACTTTGGCGGATCTTCTTATTCCTTCTTACAATAAATGTGAAACTATGTACGACGTGGATCTTGTTCAAAGGCTTCTGGAGCACTTTCTGGTTCAAGAACAGACGGAAATTTCAAGTCCAAGCCAACAATCTTTCCCTGGGAAGCACTATGATGACCTTCAAAGGTCTACCGGTCCAAATGCTAAGATGAGGGTAGCTAGACTTGTCGATAGTTATCTTACTGAGGTGTCCAGAGATAGAAGCCTCTCCCTAACAAAGTTTCAGGTACTGGCAGAAGCTTTGCCTGAGTCTGCAAGGATCTGCGATGATGGACTTTATAGAGCAGTTGATTCCTATCTTAAGGTACATCCTTCTCCGACTGTCATGGAATTGCTCTTTCTATTTTGCCTGTTCATGCTCTTACAAAAAATTGCCTTTTCATGCATGTTTTGAATACACATTGAAGGGGAAAAACGTAGATGTAAAGTTTGCAACATAGAGAAATGTATCAATCACATTATATAGTGCAGGCATATTTTAATCTTATGAGTGAGCCTTTTTAATTAACATGGATGTGTGCTTGTTTTAGCTTGGATAAATGCGAGACATTACTAATTTGAATATTTGAGCCATGTATTGCTAATTTGCTAGTAGTTCTACATTTTCGGAAGTGAACAAAATGCTTATATGTGGTGCACCGATATCTATAGCAAGTGCTGCAAGTCGACATTTGTGATGATGACTTGAAAGCACAACTCAACAATGTCATTTGCCTCTGGTTTATAGACTTGATGAACAATCGTTGAGAAATTGCTTTTGTTGCTCTCATTAATCGTTACGCCATTTTTGTTGCTGAATTGCTTTAGATTAAGAATTCTCGTCTCTTTATCAATTTAACAGGCCCATCCAACACTTTCTGAGCACGAAAGGAAGAGGCTTTGCCGGGTGATGGATTGCCAAAAGCTATCAATTGATGCCTGCATGCATGCTGCCCAAAACGAAAGACTCCCATTGAGAGTGGTAGTGCAGGTCCTTTTCTGTGAACAAGTTAAAATAAGCGATGCATTAGCCACAAGCTCCCTCAAAGAAGCTGGAGACTCTCAGTATCAGCCAATGGTTTCAAATCGAAAAACACTACTTGAAGGGACCCCGCAGTCATTCCAAGAAGGATGGGCTGCCGCTAAAAAAGACATTAACATGGTTAAATTCGAACTGGAGAGTGTGAAAGCCAAGCACCTAGAGCTCCAGCATGACATGGAGAATTTGCAGAGACAGTTTGATAAGATGTCAAAGAATAAACAGACATCGGCATGGAGCAGCGGGTGGAAGAAACTAAGCAAACAACTCGCAAAGAACACAAATTTAGAAAACCAGAACATCGGGCCGGAGCACACAACGGCTGCAGATCAGCAGACTAGAAAGACACCTAGGAAGTGGAGAAATTCCATCTCCTGAAAATAAGAACGACAGATTGAAGGAAATAGATATACAGCTACATGTTTGACTACGTGTTCCAAAGGGTTTTTTTTTTTTTTTTTTTTTTTTTGGTTATCTGAGGGTTTTTCTTTCTTTTATTTTATAATTTTTGTTATTTATTTCAACAGGAATTGCGAGATTTCTTTTCTGTAGCAATTGTTCCCAGAGCCTACCTGATGAACCTCAGTATCACTGAAATTTGATTGTACAATGGGAGTGATTTCTGCATTTCTCAATGCTGAAATCTATTTGTTTTTTTCTTTTTCACTAGGGGGGAGAGGCAGGGTGAAATACCCAAACTCAAATAGAGTGTGCATTACACAGATGACGCTTTAGCGTGGTGGTGGAAAGTAATGATGCTCATGCACTCTGATGCAGGTTCGATCTTCATCGATTTCTCTGTCCCCTAACAACTAATAATGTAACTCACTTTTTGTTTTCTCCAATAAAAAGAAAAAAAAAACAAAGAAAGAGTCCATTACTTGATTTATTTTTTTATTATTACTAATAGTATTCCATACTAACCACATAGATAATCTACCACTTACTTCTTATTTCAAAAATGACATTCTGGTATAATAACACAATGCAACGTGTTAATCTCACTTCACATCACAAGTGTTATTGAACCGAAATATCACCGCAACTGTATAGGCAGTAGGTCAGCATTACCTTTTGGAAGGGTTTTCATATGCTTGTGGAAATTTGACATATCCGAAAGAATTGACCACTCACCACACCAATCATAGAATTTGAGTCCACAACACAAGTCTGATTTTATGGGACCACACCAAAACTCAAGAGAGACCAAAAACAGTGTACAAAGAAGAAAACAATGGCGATAAGATTTCCACTTAAAACATTATCTCATGTTGCAACTACAGTGGCATTACTGAGGTAACATGTCGGAGGTCTTGACGCAGCACGAAGCAATAAAAGGGTTACCAGCGTAATCCCTTGTAGAACAAAGTTTACTGGAGTCCACCAGTTGATAGAAATCCCAAAGGATAATTTGATTAATTGATAAAAAGATGTCTAGATGATTACAAAGCCATGGCTTTAAATAAGCCTTTTACAACCTTTTTGGAAACTCAAAAGACTTATGAAATTAAAATGAAAATAACTTACATATAATAAAGCCCTTGAAACCCCAAAAGACTCTATTTATTAGTAGACTGCTGTTTCGATGACTTTCTGCAAAAGATGGCTCGAGTCACCATTATGGGAGAATTATTTTAACACGTTTCTGTGAAAAGTGGCTCAAGCCACTTTTATGGGAAATTAATACCCCTTTTATGATTGCGCCCTTTTGTCTTCCGACGTTCCATCTCCTCCTCGATCCATTCCGCCATTTGTTCTACATCAGTCCCCTCCACTTCAGAAGAACTCGACCCCGAGTTATGATCAGGATAAAGAACTTCATCATCATTGAAGGTATACAAATCAGCAACGTTGAAAGTATTGGAAATTCCCATAGACTCCGGCAAATCAATAACATAGGCATTGTCATTAATTCGCTTGATAACTTTGAATGGACCATACTTTCGTGGCTTTAACTTGCTATAAGTTCCAACAAGGAATCGTTCTCTTCTCAAGAACACCATGACAAAATCTCCTTCCTTAAACACTTTCACCCGCCGATGTTTGTCCACTGCTTCCTTATACTTAACATTGGTTTGTTCAAGCCGTTGCTTGACCTCATCACGAATTGCCACCACATCTTCAGCCATATTTTCTGCAGCAATGCTAAGTCCATGTCCCCTAGGTAGCTTCACCAAATCCACCACATGATGAGGAGTGGCAGTGTAAACAATGGAAAATGGTGACTTACCAGTAGCACGATGCACATCACTATTATAAGAAAACTCCATCTGAGGTAGGGCATAGTCCCATTGTTTTGTTTTTTCTCCGCAAATGCTTCGAACCATGTTACCAAGAGTCCTATTTTTGACCTCTGTTTGTCCATCAGTTTGGGGATGTGCAGTAGTACTTCGATTCAAAGTAGTCCCAAACATTCTCCATAATGTAATCCAGAAATGACTCAAGAACTTGGTGTCTCGATCAGAAGTGATGGACTTAGGTACCCCATGCAATCGAACAACCTCCCTGAAAAACAGTTTGGCTATGTTTGATGCATCAGCGGTTTTTCTGCAAGCAATGAAATGAGCCATCTTGGAGAACCTGTCAACCACCACAAAAACTGAATCCATTCCCCTTGGTGTTCGGGGTAGTCCAAGCACAAAATCCATAGCAATGTCCTCCCAAATATCGTTAGGAACAGGTAAAGGCATGTAAAGACCCGTATTTTGGACTTGCCCCTTTGAAACCTGACAAGTGTAACACTTCCTCACAATGGCTCCAACATCCCGTTTCAATTGTGGCCAAAAGTACCTTTCTTCCAAACTTGCTATCATCTTGTCACGAACAAGATGACCGCTTAATCCTCCTCCATGCAAATCTCGAATAAGCTTTTCCCGCAAGGAAGAGATAGGAACACATAATTGGTTACCTTTGAACAGAAAACCTTCGTTGATAAAGTAATCTGCCATAGGTTCATGATTGATGCATTTCCTCCATATTTCCTGAAAATCATCATCGGTTGTATACAACTCCTTTAAGCACTCGAAACCCACAACTTCTTGGGAAAGAGTGATTAGCAATGATGCTCGTCTACTCAAGGCATCGGCAACACGGTTTTGAGCTCCAGATTTGTGCTTGATAACAAATGGAAATTTTTGCAAGAACGTTACCCTTCTGATATGCATTTTATTAACATGCTTCTGATTGTTAATAAACTTCAAGGCTTGATGATTCGTGAATAACACAAATTCTTTCTGAATGAGATAGTGTTCCCATTGTTTTAAAGCTCGAATCACCGCATAAAACTCCTGATCATAAGTGCTCCATTTTTTACGGGCTTCACTTAGCTTTTCAGAGAAAAAAGCTATAGGTCTCTTCTCTTGGGAAAGGACAGCACCCACTCCCACTCCACTTGCATCACATTCGACTTCGAATACTTTCTCAAAATTTGGAAGAGCTAACACCGGAGCAGTACAAAGCTTCTCTTTGATCAAAACAAAGCTTTGTTCTTGTTCATCTCCTCAACGGAACTTGCCTTTCTTCAAACATTCTGTAATGGGTGCAGTGATGGTGCTGAAATGCCGCACAAATCTCCGATAAAAAGTAGCCAAGCCATGGAAACTCCTCACGTCGGAGACGGATTTCGGAGTTGGCCAATCTCGGATGGCCTTGGTCTTCTCATCATCCACCTGAATACCATTTTCACCAACCACAAATCCTAGAAATAGCAATTTAATTGTACAAAATATGCATTTCTTGGGATTCATATACAATTTATTTTCTTTCAAAACACCCAAAACGTGTCTCAAATGCATCATGTGTTCTTCTCTGGTCTTGTTATAGATTAAGATGTCATCAAAGTAAACCACAACAAAGAGACCAATAAAGGGACGAAGAACCTGATTCATAAGCCTCATGAAGGTACTCGGTGCATTAGACAATCCAAATGGCATCACTAGCCACTCGAACAGTCCATCCTTGCTCTTGAACGCCGTTTTCCACTCATCTCCAAGCCTGATTCGAATTTGATGGTAGCCACTGCAAAGGTCAATTTTTGAAAATAATTTCGAACCTTCAAGCACATCTAGCATGTCATCTAACCGAGGTATTGGAAATCTGTATTTGATGGTGATTCGGTTAATAGCTCGGCTGTCTACACACATACGCCATGCCTTTTTCTTTTCCTTGTCTTTCTTTGGAACCAATAGGGCAGGTATTGCACAAGGGCTCATACTTTCTCAGATAAACCCCTTTCGCAGCAAGTCTTCAATTTGTTCCCTCAAAATCTCATTTTCTGCAGGGCTCATTCGATAATGGGGAAGATTTGGTAGGCTAGCTCCAGGTACCAAATCAATTTGATGTTGGATGTTCCTCATGGGAGGAAGCTCGTTAGGTAACTCGTCAGAAATGAGTTCATGAAATTCCTCCAATAATTGCTGCACTTCTGAAGAGATTTGTTCCTCTTCTTTGTTTTCTGTCAATAGTCCCTTCATCACGATCGGAAAGAAAAAAATCTGCTTCTTTTATGGCCCCTTCAATCTCCTGCTTATCACTAATTAGAGTGAGGAAACTAGTATTCTTTGCTTTTGGTACTTCAGAGGGCGAAACAGGAGCCATCGCAATCTTCCGATTATTCCAAGTAAATAACACCACATTATCTCGACCCTTCAATGTCGAATCCACATCAAACTGCCACGGTCTCCCTAATAGTATATGACAAGCATCCATATCAATAACATCGCAAAGTACTTCATCACAGTAATGCTTACCAATGGAAAGTGGGACACGACAAGTTTCTGTGACATAGACGGAAGGTCCTTTCTTCACCCATCCAAGTGAGTATGGGGTGACATGAGGCTCCATTGGTAGCTGTAAACGCTCCACCACTTTCTTGGCCACAAAATTTTCACAACTTCCATTGTCTACAATCACTTTGCAAACTTTGCTGTTGATGGAGCAAAGAGAACGAAAAATGCAATGTCGTTGCCCATCCTCTTTTGGTGTTAAAAGAACTTGCTGTAACACCAAAGCGAGGCGATCCATTCCTTCTTCAGTTGCGAATTCAACGCCTTCATAGTCATCATCACCAACTTCTTCTTGGTCCCCTTCAGCCTCCAACAAATTGGCTTGTCTCCGTTCAGGACAAACGTTAGATCGATGCCCGATTTTGTTGCAACGATAACAAATGTCTCCCATAGGCTTGGCGTACGGATTCTCCCTTGGAGGTTGGTTTCTATTCTGCCCCTTGTTAAAAGTTCTGCTACTCCCTTCATTTGCTGCTCGAGAAGAAAAACTTGAAGGTTTCAATTCTCCCGAACTTTGTGGCACAAATTTCCCTTTGTCGGTGGACGAGACAACAGGGTTTTCAAAATGCTCTGTCACGTTCCTCCGGAAAGAGGTTTGTCGCCTTTCTTTCTCTAATATCTCCGCCTTCAAGGCCATGTTAATGGCCTCTTACAAACTCCGCAGATTTTGCAGCCCAATCTTTTCTTGAATTGAGGGTTTCAATCCATTCACGAACCTTGCAACCCTTTGATTTTCTGTCTCCATCAGATTGTTTCGCTCCGCAAGTCTCATGAAATCATCCGTATAATCAGTCACGTTTCTGTTGCCTTGGACGCAGCTAATGTACATACGATACAAAAGCTGTTCATAATCCGCAGGTAAGAAACGATCCATCAAGAGTTGCTTCATTTTTCTCCAAGTGCGGATTCGATTCTTTCCTTGCCTCTGCCGAGTATTTTGTAATTGATCCCACTTAACAGCGGCAATTGCTTTGAGACGGAAGGCCACCATCTTCACCATCTTTGTCTC